GTATAAAAAATACAAGCCACCGAAAAAAATAGTTTGCTCATCACTTCCTTTTGTTGTTTCCACTTTGCACTGTGAAATTCAGCAGCAGCAGCAGTTTGCGTTTCTGTGCCTTCATCTTATGCCCAAGTGCTTACAAATTAGCCCCAAAGTCCTCATGAACAGAGGTGACGCTCCTGACATCGACGCGAGAGCCCTGGCTTCAGATCCTGTTTTCTAAGCGTTTTTCACTCCGTTTTGAAGGTTTTTTTCACAGGCCTCGGCAGTCACGCAACATAAAGGACACAAATGTCAAGAGCTGAACCAGAGATCAAAGACTGCCCTGGCAGACAGAAATTAAACTTAATATGCCTTGAGAGTGCTCTTTTACAAATAAGTATTTTGAAACCAATCGAGTGTTAGTAAGCCTTAATATGCTTATAAATATCTGCTTGCAGCAAGAAAAAAGATCAACCAGGAGACAGAGAATTTGGCGATACACGAAATGTACTCATTTCATTAAATGAGCAAAGGAAAATATTTTTATTTATTTCCATGTAGAAATGTGATCTTCAAGTGGATTGTGCCATCACTGGAAACCTATCCAACTGGCTAGTGCAAACTGGTGCAAGTACACAAAATTCATCACAGAGAAAATCTGCAGTAAGTAACCAAACACATCTTCTTCCGGAAGAGTGGGGCCGTGCAGAAATCAGCAAGAAGAATCCAAATTAGAAAATGACTGAAGGGTGGGTCAGGCAAACTAGATCATAAACCCAGACGCTAAGTTCAGCAAGTATTATTTACTAAAAAGGAAGACGGAGATCCGAACGCTAGCTCTACAGATGTCCATCTGGCACATGTCTGAGACATCCTCCGAAAGCTGCCTTGGCTCTGCAAGAGTAGGTCTTTAGCCTTTAAGGAAAAGAGATGGCAAACAGCTCACAAGCCTCTTCCCTATGGATGTTATTAGAGAAAGAGGAGTTTCATTCTCAGCATAGGAAATAACAGATTTAGAGATGATGTTATTATTAGGCAAGAAAAAAAAAAGATAAGCTAAATCTCTTTCCACATCTGAACAGTGTAGTCTGGCTTCACCTTTGTGTGCCTTGCGTTTGGAAAGGGATACTCACAAATTTGATTTCCAAGAAAACATGCAACTACCTCCAACAAAATGGGGTAAGGGACGCATGGGATAAGGACATATGGCTTCACAGTTGCGCAAAACCTGTAAACGGTGGATCCAACACAAATGCCTGTAACTTGCTAGCTCTCCTCGCAGATGTGACTGCAGCCAAGAATACGGCATTAGTCAACTAATGAAATAAAGAACATTTGCCCCTGGCTTAAATGGATATTTCATTAATTATGTGAGAATCAAGCTAAGATTCTGAGAAGATGGAGCCCTCTCTTATGAGAGCAGAGGTCAAGAACTAAGAATTTGTTTAATTTCATGGATAACAACAAACTGACATCAATAAGAAATGTCTAATAAATGCATTCTTCCACACAGGCCTGAGGTTTTGTAACGCTAACATTTGTGTATAGACTGGATCCACAAAGCGACCCTATTAATACTTCCCAGCTTATGAACCTTTTCCATGCAAGGAAAAAGAGCCAACTTGGACAGTAACTTTTACAATTTGCTGGGAAAGTGCTGATCCCCGATGGAGTTCGTTCTGGGTAGAAGAGCGGACCATTTAGCTGGACCGACAGGTCTGAGGTTGACCTACTGGAGAAGCTTCCACAGCACAGCCGAGACACAGGGTAAGCATGGGAATGCCTGTCATGGGGCCCAAGGTCACGCAGAAACCACCACGCCGACCTCACCGCGTCCCAGAGCGGAGGACGCCTCCATGATCGAGCACGCGGCTCTCCGCCTTCCTCACATCACCTTGGAGATCTCTTGCAGTCTCCTTAGCTGGGAGGTGCTCAAGGTTCAGACGATTCCAGCAAGTTAATTTCCTGTTTAATATGAAGCTTTCAGTGACCATTCATTGAGCTGATTGCCCTTCATCGTTCTGCTTAACTCATCGGTCAAGGTTGTTTTTCCTGTTCGTTAAATGCAAGACCGCAGGGCTTCGTGCAAGGCTGGGACCAAGAACTCTCCAGCCCTGGGTCACTCGTAGCGCAGGCAGCTACTGTTGGAAGCTAACTTCCAAACACGGGAAATGCTCCTAGAGGAGCCTGAGAGAGGAAACAAAACACGCTAAAAACTTACAATTTCCTCTCAACTCCAGAATATTTTATATAATTTTCTTTCAAGAGATTTTGCTGACCCATGGACTATTTTCATGTTGTATTTGCAGCTGCATGATGGCAACACACGCAAGTGGAAGACTAAATATCATGAGCTTGCAAACAGTGCAGCTCCCAAACCTTAAACCTTCCTGCAAAAAAAGAGTCTGCGAGATCATCTAAAGGTACTACCTAATAAGGTATTTGCAACACGTTATTTTTCATGAAAGAACCTGCAAATTATTCACTTAGTTCAAATAAGCATAGATATGAATCCCTGTCATGTAGCTTCTGAGGACAAGAAACAGTTTATGAATCTTCTAAACACAGAAAAAAGGCTCAAATGGAGGAACTCGGTCTGAATATGAACCTTCTCTACTTGGCAAGTATTTTCTTTTTTTCAATAACTTGTCCTTAAACAAATGGACAAACTCTAGCCCAGACAGTCTTTGGGAAAGGGGAAAAGCAGGGGCCAAGGAGGAGTTGATGCAAATGCATCAACAGAAATCAAACAGAAATGACATTTTTCAAAAATACAGCGCTTCCAAAAGGTCCAGCATGAAATAAGAAATTATATCATTTAGCAGAATCTGGAAATGCCTTGCCTCGCGAATGCCTAGGACTTCTGATCTCAGCAGGTCCTCCCGCCCCAAAATCCCACAATGCAGCCTCAAAAGCAGTTGCCTCACACTGACTTCCTCTTGCAGTCTTACTGAAGCTCCTTCTCCTTCCCTGAAGAGGTGGGCTAAGAAATCCAGCAAGCTTAGCTGTTATAGTTTCTTGGAAGAGAAGGACCTACACCCAACTCTGCCTCTCTTTTCCTCCTCCTCTGAGCAGGATTACAAGCGGCATACCCCGAACAAGCATCTGCTTCCATGATGGGCTCGGTGGTTGCGTTGAAGTCTTAGAAGTCAGAAGGACAAGAGGCCAAGTAGCACACCGCCCCGATGGCTAGCGGCGATACAACCAATTCGCGAAGACAAATACGCTAGGTAAACACTGATACTGTACTTAAAAGCACTGCTACTGATGACACAGAACCACTATGAATTTTCTAACACGAAGATAAATGTTAGAACAAATATTTGTTTGGCGTGAAACAATACGAGCTAAGCAGGAGAGGAGAATCTGGCCCGGAAGGACCCAGAGCAGCTACGGCACGACAACTCCTCCCCAAGCTTTTTGGCCCTCCAGCACAGCACCACGAGCCGTGGGAGCACCTGGAAGGCAGGAGCTGCCAGGAACGGGACATGCCCCACCACTGAGGCTGCGCGCACGTGGCACTATCCGGAGGCCAGTCAAACAAACTACATGTTTCAGCCTGTTTTGTGTTTTCTAAATAAAGTCCTTTTTATTTTTTATTTTTTGGTTTGGCAATACAATTACAGAGGTTTTTTTTTTTTTTTATAAAGTAGCATTAATATTTTATGATTGCAGTCTGCTGCATTCCAAACATATAAATAACTCCAGATTGCTGAATGCTTCAACTGCCAAGAATATATTCGCTTTACCCTTTTCTGACTTTTTGTGTTGTGGAAAAATAAAAATCTATACTAGGTATAATGAAAATGCAGCCTGACATCATCAGTAATTTTAGGCTTGTTGAAAGATTTTTTTTTCTCTAAAAGAATATGAAAGCAGCATAGCAGAAGGTCTGCTTAACAGAGATGCATAGTAATGCAGATATATTGAAACTGTAAAAACGGAAAAGGCAAGATAATAGGCGATGCAGCAGGACCACAATACTAAGATTATTCCTAATTTCTCCTTTGAGTTAATTCTGTGTAGATCTACTCTGTGGTCAACTGCTTGCAGTCAAATCAGAGACGCATTTTGAAGCTGCTGTTGTGAATTACAGCATGGGAGGACCACGCTCCCTGCCAGCAGAAGCCTTTATTCGGGGAGCCTGGGCGAGCAATAAGGAGCGAGTTCATGAGTAAAATCAGAAATGATAGGATTCCCCTTTATGAGAACACATCCTGAAATTTTCCACTCATCTCCTAAATTTTTGAGGTTATCGCCTCCTCAAGACTTCCTCCAGTCGTTCTCATATATTAAACTCTCCACGTCACACGCCGCAACCTGCGCCTTTCTGGACCGAAAGCGGAAACAGTCCAGAAGTCTCATCTCAACCTCAATTCAATGTTTCCATCCCTCCTCCTTAAAACACTTCAACCCCGCAGCGAGTTGCTGAAAAACATCAGTAACTAACACATGCATTTCATCTAAAACTAAGGAAAAATACACAAAAAAAGGCATATAACTCAAAGGGCAACCAAGTCCAAGCCAAGCTTTCCAGTCGTGCTGTTTTTGATGCTCACCAATCTGCTGTTTATACTTTCCGTTTTTTTGCAGGACTGATCCTTCACGGTCATAACTATCTGTCAAACATTTTGCCACAAAGGCATCGCATGCCAGTAGGCCATCGCAGCCTGTTATTCCCATTGTGGACTGTCTTATGCCACTGGAAATCAACAGCTCCTTCAACAGACAGCGGAGGTCCTATCTCAGCATCTCACTCCCAGAGCTGCGACGGCGCCGAGGTTGGAAATAGCGGCTTCGCCTCGGAGATGTCGCCTCGGACAGGCGTTAATTCCTTCATCGCCGGGGCTGCACGCAGCAAGAGCAGCCTCCAGGCCCCGCAACCACGACCCGGCGAGTGCTGGGCTTTCAAACGGCAAATAATCGAGCAAAGAAAAGAAGAACGGGAACCACAGCAAAGCAACTTCACCAAAGAAAGGGAGGTAGCCACCAAGGCTAGTCGAGAACAAAAACGCCGTACCCACCTGCTTCTCAAACGCCGCGCTGCTATTACGGACGAAGCGTGCAAACGCAAATCCCAGTCCGGTTTCACTCCAGCAAGAGGTACGCTTGCCAGTTGCTCAGCACGTGGAAGAGGAACGATTCGAGGGAGAGGGGAAAGCTTGCACGACGGCGGACTGGGTCGACAAAGCAATAGTCTCTCTTTTTCTAACACATAATAGATCAAACAGCTTAATAAAAATAAGCTCATTTCTGAGGGAGTAAAATATTCAACGGCATGAAATACTGTTTGAAATTATTTCACTTATATAGTAGAAGAAGAAAAAAAAAAAATCTTGGCTGAGCAAGCTGCATGCAAAATTGAAGTGCTGCGCCAGCAGCTGTGGGGCTTGGAGGTAAACCCTGCCAGCAGAAGGCTATCGCGGCTCTAAAGCTACACCGCGGGCTCTTCTTCTGCACATTTACAAGCTACGCTTTCACAGCCCTCATCGCACGACACTACACACGATATTCCCAAGCCCGACTACGTCCGCGCTTCCCATCGCGCCGGCATACGTGTGCCAAAGGCTCTCGCGCGACTGGCAGGAACCACTTCAGTCTACGGATAATTTCTTGCTTCGTTCTTGCTCTTACGTGCAGTAAGAGATCCTTTCCTCTCCCTGTCAGGAGCAGTTTACGTGGTTAATACCAACTAACGCTAACGCTGCCGAGTCCTCGCTGCAACAATAGGAAAAAAAAAAAAAAAGATCCCTAAGTTGCCTCGAGAAAGTCCTTAAGGACTTTTCGCCAGTATATAAAGAAAAGCGAATTTAAAATGCAACCCCATTTTGCAAATTGCTTCCCTCTGCATTACTTATGTCAAGTCTGCTCAGCGTGCAAGGCGTTTCTATTTTTTTTCTTAACAGCCTGTCTTGTAAAGTCACCTGGGAGCTAAATGTCAATCTAACTTGTGCTTTGTAACCAAGACTCTGCAAGGAGAATATTTCATTACAGTACTGGGTACATTAAGCGCATTTATGCGTTATTCCTTTTTGTCGTTTTACTGACTTTAACCGGTAATTTTGCTTTTGTCTTTCGTTACAGAATGCCAGGGTGGCTTGTGTTACTAGTGAATACAAATATTTCAAATCACGTTCTCCTAAAAGGAGCTCTCATGCATTAACAGAAAACAGAAGAAGCAAGCTTCTTACCGGCAACTTTGAAACCCCTTAAAAGAAAAGGGGGTATTTATGGGGAAAGACACCGGCAAAACTGCGGCAACGTACGAGGCCCCACAATATGTATTTCTATCTCAGAAAGCATTGAACACATCCACTTAAAAATACCAAGCATAGCCTCAAGGCCACAAGGAGAAGAAAGTGGCTGAGCAGGTAAAACGAGACAACCCATACTCTAAGACCCAAACTAAACACATGGCAACGGTTCCTGCGGGAAATGCTGCCCAGCTCACCCCCGGCCCTCCTCTTTTTAGCTTGCTATCAGCCAGCAAAACAAACCGGCTCTTTTCTTAGACATACCAGGACCTCAAGCAATCACCCTCAGACTTTCTAATTCAGTCAGCGACTGGAGATTTTAATTTCTGAAGCCTAGCCTCTGCAGTTAGCCCTGATTTAATTTCCCATAATCTTCAGCAAGAAATTACTTTTAAGCCAGGCTTCGCCCCTGTAAGATTACTATTACAGAGGCAAAACATCAGCAACAGCTGAGAAATAGCTTATGGGAAAGTTCGCAGCCGCGTTTGAAAGGCTGTCATTTACAACAAATCCGGCTGCAGAAAAACCTTGCGCTATGAGTCAGAGGATAAAGGTAGAAAAAATAATAATAATAATAATAATAAAATGAGATCCGGGGCCAACATTATCGAAATGGGAGCTTTCTAGTAGTCCCCTTTTCTGTGGGATTTGCTCGCTAACCAACACGGCGCACCTCGTCCGCCTCTGCAAGGGCACGCTGTCAGACCGCAGAGCTGTACAGCTGCATCGCTTCGCACTTGGCGTTTCAGAAAATTTAACACCCCCCCCCCAAAAAAAGGGGGGGGGGCCGACAAAA